CTGATTTCCACAAGGGTGTTTGTACAGTCGGAGTCACTTCATACCTACCTTTCCCTAATGTTGATGTAATAGTTGGTAATGATTTAGCAGGGGATAAGGTAGGGGACTCCAGACTGCCTATTATGTTGCCTACCCCTAAGGTTTGCCTGGATCCACCCGCCGCAGAGGATAATGTTGTGTACCCTGCGTGCGCGGTGACCAGGTCTATGGGACCTAAATGTAAGGGCAGCCCTGTGCTTGCCAAGGTGGTAAATCCCGAGGTCACGAGGAGCTTTCCGAGTGGTGAAAACCAAGTGGACCTCGCGGACACATTCATGGCCTGACTCGATGACGTGGCCGAGGACATGGTGGAGAGCCTGCCACCGCCACCTACAGAGAGTAGTGGGGAGGTGGAGGAGAACACTGTTGAGCCTCGGCCAATGGCATCTGACCAAGGCCTAGATGCCTCCTTGAGTGAGTTACAGAAAGCTGACCCCACTCTTGCAGATTGTCATGAGACAGCTGTCTCTATGGAGGAAATTGTAGACGCAGCAACTGGGTACTACCACAATGATCGGATTTTTATGAGAAAATGGAGACCACAGAGTGCTCCCTTGTCAAATGAGTGGGAGGTAGTCCACCAGGTTATGTTGCCGACCTGCTATAGAGAAAGAGTTTTGGCAGCTGCTCATGATGATCCTATGGGGGGACATCAAGGTATTAATATTACGTATCACAAAATTTTAAAGTATTTTTTCTGGCCCAAGCTGAAAAGCGATGTGGCAAAATTTTGTAATGCGTGTATTGTTTGTCAACTGGTTGGGAAACCAAACCAGACTCCACCTAAAGCTCCTCTAAGGCCTATTGTCGTGCCAGAGGAACCATTTTCTCATGTGGTAATGGACTGTGTTGGACCATTACCTAGAACTAAGTCTGGTAATATTTACCTAATCACGATGATGTGTATCACTACTCGTTACCCAGAGGCTTTTGCTGTAAGGAACATCCGAGCAAAAACTGTTGTTGCTCGTATGTTGCAATTTTTTTCCACTTTTGGACTGCCTCGGGTCGTGCAAACTGACAATGGTACTAATTTTAAGTCTGATGTTTTCGAGCAATTTTGTAAGGAACATGGAATAACTCATAAGGTTTCCAGCCCATACCATCCACAGAGTCAGGGGGTAATTGAACGTTTCCATCTAACTCTGAAGCAGATGTTGAAGACATCGTGCGAGAGTTCCCACACCTTCTGGGATGAGAATTTTAATAGGGTATTAAAAGTTGATACTTTTAATACCCTATTAATATCCCCTCTTGTTCTGTCTTGTGTTAATGCCACATCACCCCTCCCACCTCACTCAAATGTAGATATAAAATCAGAGATACGTAAGTTCTAATCAGTTGTGTATTTGTGAAGTCTTTGAAAATGTAATAAGTTTCACGAAACGCGCCCGTGTCGCGTCAGACTAGAAATAAAAATGAATTTTGGAGAAGTGATTTTTGATTTACCTCCAACAGTGAAGCGTAATGTACGAAAGATTGAAAAATTCGTGTTAGAATTATTAATCTTACTTTTTCGGTCATATTTAATAATATATGTCTACAGGAAAGACTGCTACCAAAATATACTAATATTAAAGTGCACGACCCAGCAGCAAGGAATCAAGCCTTCACGATAAAATATCGCCAGGATCTGATTCGTGATCAGATATACAAGGCAGAGAATGAAATCAAAGACAACAAAACGCAACTACTTCATGCTACAAACGAGTGGAGAAATAGCAACATCGACCATAGTATCCGTACCCGCATTGAACAACACCTCGACATCCTCACAGACCAACATCACCTCAGCACTGAAACAAGGATTATCAAGAAACTAACAACATTATATGGAGGACCTATGGCAATTCCACGACCAAGAGATGGCTTCCTGAACCTTGCAGGAATTAACCTCACTGAGGACCAAGTCACTCTCCTAAATCTGGGCATAAACTGTCATGTTATGTCCAGACCGAGTGAAATGGCCCGGAAAGTAGAGTTGGAAATTCTGTTGGACGACATATTCGACCTCGAGACACAAAAGAAGGTCACTACCAAAGATACCTTACAAGCAGAACTTATTGCAGAAGGAGGAAAGAATCGAGGCAACTACAGAAGCACCATACTGTCCCCCGAGCTTAAAGCGGCAGCTAAAAGCCTTCGTGAGAACAAGGAGATAGTTGTCAGGAGAGGTGACAAGTCGCCAATATATGTCATTCTTAAAAAAGACGAATATCTGGCGAAAATGAACATCATACTCTCTGACCAAACTAAGTTCCAAAGGGTAACGAAGGACACTACAGCCGAATTAAAAGCAAAGGTCAACAAACTGATCGAAACTGTGAACGCCAAGAAATCCGGACTCCACCTGCCAAAGATCATTGGGGAATATAAACCTGAATATGCGTATGGAAATGTCAAGACGCACAAGCCTGGAAACCCACTTCGGCCAATCATTAGCCAGATACCCACACCCACGTACAGACTGGCGAAGCGACTTAACGGCCTGCTGACTCCTTATGTTCCTTGCGCCTTCAGCCTGAAGTCTCCAAAGGAATTTGTGGACTTACTGCGGGGCACACGGGCCACAGGGATAAGAGCCTCGTTGGACGTAGAATCGCTGTTTACCAACGTACCTGTGGACGAGACAATCGGAATGATAGCCGACAGAGTGTATCGTGATCCAGCCTGTACTCCTCTTGACATGCCAGAAAGTATTCTGAGGAAACTACTCCAAGCTTGTACTAAAGAGGCACCCTTCTTGAGCCCGGATGGGCACATGTATAAGCAAGTAGATGGGGTCGCCATGGGTTCTCCCCTAGGTGTCCTGTTTGCAAACTTCTACATGGGTACCATCGAGCAAAAAGTCTTAGTCGACATGAACTTGAAACCGGCCATATACTGCAGGTATGTTGACGACATTTTTACACAGGTACCTGATGTCAGACATCTGCAGGAGCTGAAGGAAGCATTTGAGCAGAGTTCCGTGCTGCGTTTCACTTACGAGACGGAAAAGGATGGGAAGCTGCCTTTTCTAGATGTAACAGTCATGGAAAAGGGCGGAGGTTTCCACACTGCAGTCTACACTAAAGAAACAAACATAGGAATGTGCCTAAATGCCAACAGCGATTGCCCTGACAGGTACAAGAGGAGTGTTGTTAACGCATACGTCGACCGTGCTCTCAGCCACAGCTCAGAATGGAAGCAAGTCGACGAAGAACTCTGTAGGGTAAGGCAGGTCCTAGTCAATAATGGCTTCTCCAATGGTTTCATCGAAGACATCATAAGAAGGAAAGTGAAAAGCCATGCAACCTCTGAAGAGACAACTAACACAACACCTATACCCCCTATTAGACTATTTTACAGGAACTTCTTTTCCACAGCTCATAAAACGGAGGAAAGGGTCCTGAAAGATATTGTTAATAGAAACGTTATCCCTACAGACAAAAATCAGAGGATACAACTGACGATTTACTATAAAACCAGAAAAACGGCCAGCCTACTCATGAGAAACTCTCCAGACACAAAACAGAACGCTTTAAAAGAGACTAACGTCGTCTATGCCTTCAAATGCCCACTTGGGGACTGTAAGCTCCAAAAAACCCAGTATATAGGCAAGACAACAACATCTCTTTCTAGGCGTTTAACGATGCATAAGCAACAGGGCTCCATTAAGGAACATATAATCTCTTCCCATAACCAAACCATCGCCAGAGAAATCCTAGTAAACAACACAGAAATCATCGATAGATACAGCGATAGCAGGCGGCTTGACGTTTGCGAGGCACTACACATCAAGAAGTCAACACCAGCAATCAACAGCCAATTATTGCACAACTATATTCTACCCACCTCAAGACTCCGCTCCAATATAGAAGCATCAAGAAATATGGACCAATAGGCTTTCTACAAACACTTCTATTCAATACCCATTGTTTCTGTTCTGTCTTGTGTTGATACTTTTAATACCCTATTAATATCCCCTCTTGTTCTGTCTTGTGTTAATGCCACATCACCCCTCCCACCTCACTCAAATGTAGATATAAAATCAGAGATACGTAAGTTCTAATCAGTTGTGTATTTGTGAAGTCTTTGAAAATGTAATAAGTTTTACGAAACGCGCCCGTGTCACGTCAGACTAGAAATAAAAATGAGTTTTGGAGAAGTGATTTTTGATTTATCTCCAACAGTGAAGCGTAATGTACGAAAGATTGAGAAAATTCGTGTTAGAATTATTAATCTTACTTTTTCGGTCATATTTAATAAATATATATATATATATATATATATATATATATATATATATATATATATATATATATATATATATATATATATATATATATATATATATATATTATTAAATATGACCTATTATAATATGATGATATGATAAATATAAATATGACATATAAATTAATATGATTATTAAATTATTATATATTATTTATTATTAAATATGACCTATTATCATATGATGATATGATAAATATAAATATGACATATAAATTAATATGATTATTAAATTATTAAATATATATATTATTAAATAATTTATATATATATATATATATATATATAAATATATATATATATATATATATATATATATATATATATATATATATATATATATATATATATATATATATATATATATATATATATGCGAACAAGCCTGAATGGTCCCCATGACTATATGCACCTGAAAACTGGTAATTGAAAAATTGTTATATGTATATATATATATATATATATATATATATATATATATATATATATATATATATATATATATATATATATATATATATATATACGTATATGACATCACGTGTCATATATATTATATATAATACTTTTCGTAAATAATTAGTACGAGTGGTGGACTCGAAGGCGTCGTGTGGTGACATTTAAGGGTGCCGCTCCTGTGCAATATAAGCCTCCCCAGAGTGCTCCAGTGGCTCACTCCACCAGAGTCTCTCGCCACGTCAGCACCTTCGGTCCCAGGAGCCTCCCACCGCACCTCACCGACCGGGTATAACAGCAGTAAGGTGTTCCTTCAGGGTGTTTCATTACAGTCAGTGTTAGTGTCAGTGTGGAGTGTGGCTGTACAGAAAGAACTGGCTATTTATGTTGTGTTTATGTCTCTGATATTAATGTAATTGTGTCTTGTTCCTCCGTCTAGTGGGTTTATTATGAGTAATTGTTCTCATAATATGTCTTGTCTGTCTACCTCTCCCCTCTTTTATGTCTCTCTCTCTTCCCTTTTTGTGTCCCTTCTTCTGTCTCTTCCCTCTTTGTGCACCTCCTGTCTGTTCATTCTTTTAGGTCTTTCTGTCCTCTTTTATCTCTCTCTCTTTCTCTTTCTTTTATGTCTTTTTGTCCTCTTTATCTCTCTCTCTCTCTTTCTTTTATGTCTTTCTGTCCTCTTTTATCTCTCTCTCTCTTTCTTTTATGTCTCTCTTTCCTCTTTTATGTCTCTCTCTCCTCTTTTATGTCTCTTCCCTCTTTTATGTATCTTTCCTCTTGTATGTCTCTCTCCACTTTTATGTCTCTTCCCTCTTTTATGTCTCTCTCCTATTTTATGACTCTCCTTCTATCTCTCTCCTCTTTTAATTATATTTCCTCTTTTATGTCTCTCTCCTCTTTTAAGCATATTTCCTCTTTTATGTCTCTCCTCTGCTATGTCTCTTTATCTTTGCTACTTGTATAGCAACACTTCTTTCCTGATATATTTACTTGTCAGGTAATATATATGGATATATTGCATTTCAGGTGGGATATATTACCTGTTTGGTATTTTGGACCACCATGGCCTAGTCGGTTAGTGCAGGTGTCTGGGAGTCATCAGAACGCGGGCTCCAGTCATTCCATTGCCTCAAAATGATTTCATTGAATTTGACTGCATATTCCGTGTTGAATATTTTCTTGTTTAGGGCTTCTATCCATCTCTTGCATCTTGGTTTAATTGGAAGAAAATTTCCCCTAATATATTATTTGTTCAAGGTTGACTAAAAGTACAAAAATTAACTTTAAAATGTATAATACTTATTATAATTTATACAACATTTCGAACCTACATGGTTCATTCTCAATTGAGGAGACATCTGGTTTTTATAACACTGGGAGGTCAGGTACATACAAATTTAAGTAAGGAGAAAGGCAAAAGTAAAGAGTAGAGGTATAGTGAAGGGTAACTAGACTAAGCATACAAAGATAAGTTAGGTAATTATAAAAATATAGTAATTAGACCTCAGGTGACCATAGTGGCCATGGCGTTTTGGGCAGTGACGTCATCGTTGGCATACTCTCGTTCCGGTTTTGCTCTCACTCTCATAGTGGGTAGAGTGAATAGTTCTGTTATTTGGGTATTTATGGTGAGTTGTTCTACATTTATGTGCAGGGCTTCAAGAACTTGAAGCCTCCTAACATCTTGGGTTTCTTCTGCTATGAATGTGTTTTAATTCAGGATTTATTTTATTAAGATGATGTTATATACGCCTGTCATGTGATGTGTAGGAGCACTTGACTGAAGATGATAAGTCAAACTCCTCGTCAGCTTGGTCGACGTCATAACTATGTACTTAGATTGAACGTTACATCCTTCGTGGGGACTGGAGTACATATATACTACGTTTGACTGCTGTAAAGGGTTCACCATTTGGTCCGGGAGACATCTCCCGTCACGCAGGGTGCAGTCGCGCCTCCACAGATCTCAAGTATGATCTCTTGATACTGGTAATGGCTCAAAAGGGCCACCACTTACGGGCTATTTATGCCCCTGCCACCTCTTGGGTGGCTTAATCTTTATCAATCAATCTGTAAATGGTTCTCCGTCGGCTTCGGGTTGTTTTTAATGAGGGGGTCGGTAGTCTTCTTTGTTTTACAGAATATGATTAGGTCTATGTTTTGGTTAGGAGTAGTGCTTTTTACTCCTTTACATATTATTTATTTCATTATCCTTTCTCTTTCTTGTATTCTCTGTGCATGATTAATTTGTAATATAATTTTAGTGTTGGTTCAGGATTGTACCACTGGTCCAAGTGTCGTCTTATAGTGGTGTTGACCTCGTGGTTACTATAGCTATTGATCACCAACAACTGTGTTATTTTTTCAAATTCGCTACTCGAATTCGCTACTAGGGCTCGACGAATATAAGCGTAGAGAACAGTGACTTTTTTTCTTTGGGGGGCACTCACTAATACCGTTTAGACATAATCCTATGTTTGTAGGATTAGTATATACGCTGGTGCTTAGAGATGCTCCTATTTTTGTTATTAGCACATCCAAGAAAGGCAGACTGTTATTTTCACTCTTTTCATGGGGTAAATCTGACTACTGACTCTCTCTAGATGGCATTTTAGATTACTTTGTTCACCAAGGTCTTTTACTTTAACGAATATGTCATCAACATAACGGTAGTATACAATTGGTGTTTGTCTACTATTGAAGACTTTCCTCGATGGTTCTCATGTACAAATAGCAAATAACACTCCTAAAGGGAACCCATTGCTATTCCATCTATCTGTAGATACATGTTACCTTGCGGACTGATGAAAAGAGCTTCCTTTGTACCTGCCTCGAGAAGACTCTTCAAGTGTGACTCGGGTATGTCTAATTTGGAGGTGCTCTCGTCTCTGTATACTCTGAGTGGATCATTTCTACGGTGGTGTCAACCACTGTTGGTAAATAGGAATTCGTGAAGCAATAATTCCTTTGTGCTGTGTAGTAGTCTTGATTATTTCTAAGAAATCTGCTGATGATTATAGATTATAGTTGCTTGGGGTGCATGGAGTTTGGAGTTCGTTTAGTCTTTTTGCCAGGTGATAGGTTGGAGTTGTCTGACTAATTATTAAGCGTAGTGTGTTACCTAGTTTATGTCTTAACATTGCCTTAGGCATATCCTAAGCCATAGTCTCCTTGGAGTTTAGCGAAATGAATTCCACTTTTCTTTGCGTTGATCGCATTGATTGTTTTGTTCACTTTGCGTTTTAAGTCTTCCAAAGGGTGCCTGGTAATTTGCTGAAATTTAGTATCGTCACTGAGGATGTCGTTGATTTTATTTAAATATTTTTTGAATATCTGAATATATACGTTTATTGATTTTTTCAATTGTATTTGACCTGAGGCTTTGAGATACGCTATATTAACTCTTGTTAACATTATCAAGGGCAGAGTTTTAATCGTTACAAAGTTTCCTGCTGACAGATGTCCAGTCTTCATCTCCTTCCTTATCCCCAGCATCCTCACAGACTTCATCTCCTGCTTTATACCCAACATTCACATACTCCCTTTGTCTCCTGCTTTACACCCTACGTCTTCAACTCTTCATTTCTTGCCTTATTCTCTACATCTTCAACTCTTCACCTTTGGATTTATATCCAGCATCTACACACACTCTTCACCTTCTGCCTTATATACAGCATCTACACACACTCTTCACCTTCTGCCTTATATCCAACATCTACACACACTCTTCATCTTCTGCCTTGTATCCACCATCAGCACACTGACTTCATCTCCTACCTCATAATTTACCATCCACATACAAACTTCATCTCCTGTCTTGTACCCAATGCAAGAGAATCATTATTTGTTTCGATATGACCACGCCTGGTGCAATGTTCCATTTATTAGCCTATCCGCAGGATGTTCAGTACGCACCAACGCGCTAGGCAGACAGCTCACAGAGGCTGTCAACAGATCAAGGAATAGGCTCAGAGCCACAAGCCACAATTATTCAGAAAAAGAGCTCGCACTTCCCTTATAATGTCGGGATTCAAGGTAGGACGCTCTTATTTGTCCAATCCCATCGAGTAGATCGTGTCATTATCGAAATTAGGGTAAGCATTCAAGTTTATCTGGTGACTAGCAACGTAGGCCACTGGGGACATATTGCAAGAGAGATTGGTCTAACGGAAAGATTGTGGTCTAATTTACAGTTCTTTATTTATATTTTAATCATAAGATACATCTACTGGTGAATCTTTATTGGATCAGAGTTTCATGGCAGGTTTTAAGCATCCACTCAGGAGAAGGGAATTTCGGGAAAGCTGGTGTGTAGAATCCAGTTAGATTCGGTCAATCGTAAACTTAACACCACGAGTGACAGCCTTACAATGCTACCTTAACTCTCACCACAATCACTACGGGAGAAACACGGGAGCAAATCTAGTCCTGTGATGTATAATAATACATGAACACACTACTGAGACGAACGCCTCACCTTCTGCTCACATGATCTAAGTGAACGTTGACTTTAAAGTTGACTTTAACTGAGCGCGGTCACCGCTTCACTATGGAGAGTAACACACTTTTCAAAGTTTCAAACTGAGGCTCGAAAACAAGGCAAAGTGACGAACCTTTTCCAAATCATTTAATATCAACCATTGGGGAATCATTTTATAAAATCATTCCATGTCATTTTATATCAAACCAGGCGTTGCTCCAGGGAAAAGATCGTGTAAATAATTATAATCACCATACATAAGATTAGATCAATTTTGACTCAGTTGAGGTCACACTAAGGATCCAGTATTCACGCTGACGCACATCACACCAAACACGGCCCATAACAAGCAAGCGAGCTGCTTCACCCGCAGCATCAGCAAGTTGTGTCTTGCAATGCAACGGCCGGCTCCATCGGTTCATGTAAAGCGTGCAGTAGGAGGCATCGCCTCAGGACTTCTACACTGTGTCTCCTTGGCGAGTTAGTGGTTCTCCCGTGAACATACGAGGTGCGCCCTCAGTGAACGTGAGGAAGGGCAGTGCTATTCTGATAACACCTTGTAGACCTATACACCAATCACATGTTGCTCACTCATACATTAACGTAGAACACACCCCAACACTTTCCAGTCCATTTACTGTCCACACAGTTACTACACAACTGCATCAACACAGTTCACAATCTTCAGCAGTGCACTCTTCTCTTACCCCGTTCTAATTTCTCTGGTTTTCCAATAATAACGAATAGTATACATGTGATTTAACCCATCTTGACTACCCGTATACTAGATGGTTTAAATATGCTAAACTAAGGAAAG